ATATATATATATATATATGTGTGTATATTATATATTAATATGCAAAAAAATATACATTTTACCGACTATTATTTTTGGGGCAATACTTTATAGTCTTCCCTTCTAATTCTCCTTATGCATTAGAAGGACATTAATTAGTTGGATATATTTCCAAAATGAGAAAAGGAGATGTGAAAGAGAAGCAGCAAAAATAGGCAGACAATGATAAATAAGAAAGCTGAACAAGATCAAAGTGGTATCTTAAGTTGAACCCTATAAAGGAGACCATTTGAGTGTAAGCATTTAATCTACTTTTCCCACTCATAAAACTACGTTTGCATTTTAAATATAAGACAGACGTGATTGATGTTACTTGAGATAAATTGTCATTTCATTGCTCTAAAGTTTTTTCAAAAGTATAGTGTGCTAATTAATGGATGAAAGGAATGTGTGATATTTAAATGTTTCATAAAATTGTGTAAAATTTCGATCGTTAGGCAGCAACGCTAATGTGAAAGAGTCAATACGACTGTCGAGTTTCAATAACTATAGGGGGCATTTTAGTTTTTTTTTTTTTGAAGTTTAGGGACTACTCATATAGTATCATCTTTTAAATTTTGAGTATTGTTCCATTAAATTGCCCATAAAGTCAACAATCCTAAAGTTCCCATGGCAAAGTTATGGTATTTGAAGATTCACGCCCATGACGGAGGACCGACAATTAGGACGGATCAAACAGGACTGACAAACTTCTAAGAAGCTGACAAACTTTTAAAGAAATGGTCGAAATGTGAGAGGAAAGTGAAGAGATTTATAAGGCACAACACAAGTCACATGCATGGTATGCGTGCTTCTGTCGATGTGACGTAGCCCGAAAGATAAATCTGTACGTGTCTAGGTCCAAAGCGAAATTGAGTTGTGAATGGTAAGCATGAGTGCACATATTACCTTAGATGAATCCTACGTCGAAATAAAAGAGGAAAGTGAAGAGTTTTATAAGGTATACCACGAGTTCATATGGTACACTTTAGGACTAGATATAGCATAGCGCGAAAGACAAATTTGGATGGACCTAGGCCCAAAGCAGATAATATGTGTTATGGACTTGGATCGTGACAGTTGACAGACACATATTAATTGGCGAAGCAAGAAGAATTTTTTTTTAGAGTTTAACCTTTTTCCTCTCTTCTTCAGAGTCTAATAAGTGAAGCTCTGTGATCAGTTAGTTATATATCCATTTCATTCTGGCTAGCGAAGTTTGAATATTCAATATTTGTCAACAAACAGTAAATAAAAGTTATGAAAATTAGCAATAAAACAAGACTGAGATAAACATGCCTATATAATCCTCTAAATATTGTAAGATAAAAGTACATTTGGTTCAAACTAACGAATCTGAAAATTTTATGGAAATGAAATGACCCAATTATAAAGAGATCAAATAGAAAAATAGAAGAAAAAGAAAAGGAAGTGAGAAGGGAAACCAAAAAAATCATTATCAACTAGGCTTCTAATTCAAGAAAAGCACACATCAACACACGTGTTGGAGATAATTGTAAGTGAATTATTGAGTTCACGTAAACATGTTTCTTTAGTTGTTTTCATCAAAATCCAGGGCAGTATCATATCTTTTGTAATTAATATGGTTCACCCTTTTAAAATTCTAATAACGTAACTCCACCACAATTTAGAGGTTTCTAGTTTCGTAGTTCCCTTTCAGACAAGTTATTAATAGTGATTGATTAAATTTGGACGTGTTAGTTTGTAATGCTCTTGTTGGTGAGAGGAGGATTGCGATATCACTAGAAGGCCCTAGTTTATGTTTCTCATCTTGTATATCTGTTTTTCTTTCTTCTTCTTTTTCCCATTTTTTTTTTCATTTGGTTGGAAAAAAATAAAAGCTGGTAAATTTTGACATTAATTTATCGGAAACAATTTCTCTATCTTCCCAAAGTAGGAGTAAGGTCTGCGTGTATGCTACTTTTCACTAACCCTACTTGTAAAAACTCACTAAATTTGTTCTTGTTTAAATTTTCTCACTAGGTTTGTTTTTGTTGTTTAAATTTTCTCATTAAAGTTACTCGAGAATAGAATAGACAACCACATCTTATGATCATTATTTGACCGAGGTTTCCAGTTATCCTATATAATCACGGCCAGGGGCGGAACTGATACCTAATCTGAGGAATTGAATTGAATTGAATTGAATTTTCTTTGTTAAAACATTATACGTTATATAAAAAATTAAAAAAATGGGAGGGATTGTTACATAAATAGCCGATCAGATTTATTATTTACTTTTTCTAGCTGGTATACATAGATTATGCATTAATTATATATAGTTAACATATATTATAGATGAATGATATATATATTATACGATCATCGGCTATTATTTAGTTTAAGAGATTAGGTGAGAGTCTATTTGAGTTAAATCTAAAAAAAATTATATGTTTTAAGTATTATGCAAAAAAGTTGATGTCTTCTCTCTTTTATTGTGTTGGAGGGGGATAGGGGAGTTATCTTTTGGTCATGGTAATTATCCTAGTGATAAGTTACATTGAAAAACGAAGGCAAAGGAAGTAAATAAAATCTAAAGGAAAATGAGATTCATTAAACTCTTCAAAGGAAAGAGATACAAAAGTTTCTGCATTTCCTTCACTTCAACAAAACTAGAAACATAATCTATACATAGTTCACACCCCCACCTCCAAATCTCTATTTCCCCATTGTTTAATAGTACATAAACAATTCAAAATACACAATTATACCCATTTCTCCTCTCCCAAAATCATCATAGAAAAAGCAAAAACTACGTACTAACCTCTTATGCCTTCATAAGAACTTATCATCATACACTAATACATAGTAATACTTAAAGTTCAAGACACCAAAAGAGGAAAATTTGGATAAAAGAATCCAAATTTAACCCCCTGCCTATAGCAAATATCCGATAAAATAGTCTAAATGCATAAAACTTGTAACCCTCATATACCCAGTGAAATAGTCGAGGTGCGCAAGTTGGTCTGGATATCACCGTTATACAAAGCTAAACTCTAAGCAAATAAAGGCTAAGTTCAGGACCTCCATGACCATCAGGATTCATCATGTAAAAAGCTTCAGAATCTTTAGACCCTACAACTCTTTCAAATTTAGCCCTCATATACATTAATTCACCTTCTGATCCAATTCCATCTCCATCACTTGGCAAAACTCCAGCTCCCATTGAAACTGGCCCAATTGAGTTCAAAATCTTCCATTCCTCAGGCCCACATTCCCTTTTCATTCCATAGCCACATTTTCTCCCATTACAATATGTTCTCCAAATTGGCTCTTCTAACAATTTCACTGCTTTTTTTCCTGTTCTCTTGTCTGCTTCTAGTGCAATTCTAACCAATCCACTAGCCATTTCTCTAACCAAATGGCTAGTTGGAGTGGCCAATTCGACAAAAAATGCAGGACTCAATTTAGGATCTTCTTGAAATGCAAAATGAACATGTCCTCTTCTGTAACCAAATAAAGTACCAACAACTTTGGTACCAAGCCCTGAGGAAAAATGCGTTCGGCTCTTACCGAATGTAAGAGCCGAACGAAGTATAGAAACTGTAGAGCGCGACAGTTTCTTACTTTTAGGTGCATTCGTTGTCGACAGGGATAACGAATGCATATTCAACTCTTCTTCTCTTTGCGAAGAAGAGTGAAAATTAGTTAAGTAAACTTCATCATCATAATCTTCATCTTCAACTTTTTTCTTAAAGTTGAAGTATCTTCTTGAAAAGGAGAATGACTCATGAGGATTCTTAGCCATAATAGTTCTCATGTTTGAATTAACAAAAGACAAGAGAAGCTAAGGCAGTTGAGAAAATATGGGAAGTTGTTTTTGACTCTAAGTTTTGGCTACTAATATTGTGGTTTTATGGGGGTTGAAAATAAAGATTTTTAAAGATTTTTGTTTCAATAAAATCTTGGATTTTGAAACTGAAGAAGTAGGAGGAGAATCCTGACAAAAAGAAGGTGAGCAGACCTACCTAACTGTAAAAAGAAAATGGAGCACAGAGAACAAGAAACAGAAAAAACAGAGGAAACAAAAGGAGATGTGAAATTTGGAAGGGAATTGGGAAAGCTAAATAGTACTCCAGTAGTAGTGGAATGTAAGGACTGAAGAGACAAAGGATTTATCAGACAAAAAAGATTAACATTATCTTTTTGTTTTTGTTTTTATTATAGGATAAGTACTAATACTACTCCCTCCGTTTAAATTTAGATCAGGTAGTTTGACTCGACGCGTAGTTTAAGAAAAAAAAGACTTTTGAAACTTGTGGTCTTAAAAACTTAAGGGGTAAAAGTTTTGTGGGGACATGATATTTGTGTGATTATAAAAACTTTACATTAAGAGTAAAATGGATAAGATGAAGAGTTTAAAGTTGAATTATTTTTAAAATTAAAAATGTGTCATTTATTTTGAAACATAATAAAATAAAAAGTAACTCATCTAATTTGAAACGGAAAAAATATTATTTAACGATATTATCAATTTATATGTATTTCGTGTATTTATTATCTCCTACCAGCTTAGATACCAGCTAATTCTATCAACCAATGTCTAGGCAAATAGAAAAAAGTTTACCCAATGGTTAAGACACTGTTTCACACACTAAGTTAGCAATCTGTCTTTACTCAATTTCGTCTAATAAATAATGAGTGACAAAACTCATGAATTAACAAACATGCGAGACGTCTGAATTTCTAACTCATTTTTATTGATTAGGAAACCACAATCCCAAACGTGTGAAGATAATACAAAAATGTTAAATAAATTCATTCACAAAAAAGAAGTGTCCTGCTATCTCTTAGATAGGTTGAATATCTCTTCATTAAATATAACTAAGAATTTAAATTCTACAATCGACAATATAAAAAAAATATTACTCCATAACTTATTTACAAAATAATAAAAAGTTATATAATTTTATGATAAGCATTAATTGATAATCTGAAAAAAATAAAAGATGACTTGCTATCACCAATTAAACTACATTAATAGTATAAATAATTTAATATAACTTGCTATCACAAATTAAACTACATTAATAGTATAAATAATTTAATATTGTCGGTATATATAACTTAACAACAACAACAACTAAAACAACAAACTCACTAAGTTACCACAAGCTAGTATACAACAACAACAACCCAGTATAATCCAACTAGTGGGGTCTGAGGAGGGTAGTGGGTACACAGACTTTACCCCTACCCTGGGGTAGAGAAACTGTTTCCAATAGACTTTCGGCATCCTTCCCTCCAAGAACTTCCCACCTTGCTCTTGGGGTGACTCGAACTCACAACATTTTGGTTGGAAGTGGAGGAAGCTTACCACAAGCTAGTATATATAACTTAAATGAATTTCATTAAAGTTAATCTCAATTAGTAAATCTTGTACATACTCGGTTACGAGTTCAATTTATGAAAATAATAATTTATAAAAATATAAGGCAAGACTGCTATAATAAATCTAAAATGATCCAAAGTCGTATGTATAGTGGGAGCGTAGTGCACCATATATGTCTTTTTTTTTCTTTATTAAATGTGTTTTCAATGGTTTATCTGAAATAACCTCTTTGCCGTACATAAAATAGGAATAAAATCTGCATACACTTTACTTTTTCAGACCTCACTTGTGAGATCATATTGAGAGCGTTAAGAGTATACAGTATGTGACATTTGCATAGGGAACAGCTAATGGACAGGTGAAAGGCCAACACCAAACCACACCAAACAGGGAATTTTACATAGCAACAATTCAACATTCAGTAAATCAGTGGCTGTCTAATTAGGACCTGAAGTGAGAAAAGGAAAACTCAATATGCACACAAATCTATGAATAATAGGACACCATTAGCCACCATTGTGCTCTGTATTTTTCTTTGCTTTATTAGTTGGCTTAAATTATTGAATCTGATTCTATGTACTATATATGCAGCCTCTGCCTTTGCAGAAGCAGAAGCAGAAGCAGTAGGCGTGGTTTGGGCACTTTTCCACTAGACTTTTGGAGCTATAATATATACCGATAAGTATCCCAATGTTTTAAAAAGTATTTTATTTAATACGAGGCAAGAGATAAGCCGTATGGATCTCTATTTAAATTCATATATAAATAAAATAGCGTAAAGTTAAAATGATATAGTATAACAAAAATATCGAAAGTATATTAAAAGGTTACAAAAAATTAAGTGAACTAAAGAAACTCAGAGAAATTTTCTATCATGTTTTTAGAAGTATGAACCATGCCTAAGATAGTTTGGAGACGCACATGCACAAGAACAAGCTAGCTTTGGGCTTTGATGGTCATAAATGCTCGGTTATGCCAGTGGTACACAGTGAATATAAAAAATTGATAGGTGAATCGTGGTAATAAACCGAATTGAAATTAGTTTGAGGGACTTGTTGATGACCATGTGAAACATAGTTCAAGTGAGAGATTATTGGATATACAAACAAAGTTCTTTATTGATAGTTGAAAAGATAATGAAACGATATATAAGGTTAGGGATACCCCTAATGGTATGAGATGTTGAGAAAAATCATGTGAGATTGATCCAAAGCAGATAATATCACATCATATTCAAGAGTATTTTAATCTGACTTAGACAACAATTTCATTCTCAAGAAATGATCAACTAAACCATACCCTATGAAACCTAAATAATAATATGACCCCCTCAAAAAATATTAAGTCATGTCAATTAGAATTAAAACGGAAGGAAAAGAGTATGAAACTGTCACATAAAACAAGTTACCAATTCATAAGAGGAAACAACAGTGTCAGCAATGTTCTCAAAAAGAAGAAAAAAGAAGTTTAAAATGTCAAAAAGTGTACTAATCATGACTGCTAACATTGAGCAAATAAATCTTGGAAATGGCTTATCATTAGAGATTATGGTAGACAGTTCATAATGGTTAATCCAAAGTCCTCCCTTTTGTTGAAATCTTGAAAATTTTATAAAATAAATACACCAACATATGCTTAAAAGTCAAAAAAATCATGAATTTATTTTCCTCCACCGACTGCTAAATATGCACCACATGTGGAGATAGCAAGAAGTAGACATGTTTAGGGTCAAAAGCTTTGTTGAAATTCTGGGTACACCACTAATCTATCAACATTTGATTAGTTATAAAGTTTTTAAATAAATATTTTATTTAGGGGTACCAACTAAATGTCACGGACCAACTAATTTTCATCTACAACCAACAACTATGAGATTTAAACAGAAGTATATTATGTTGAATGAGCTAGACATGTCAAAATCTAGACCTAAAACCAAAGAGCTTAATCCAATTAACAATCTTGAAACAACCCTTTAATTGATATAGTTAGGTGATGAGTAAGCAAAATTTGCTTTGAATGGATGATTAAGAATTAATCTGGAAATAATTTTAAAAGATAGCGTGTTTAAAATGTAACTACTTTTTTAATATTATTAACCTACCAGTGTCCCCTTGCTGATGTACAAAGTTAAATTTTTTGATGAGTCTTTTAAAAGTTTTGAGTTTCAATAAGTTTCTTTGTTGGGAAAATATCATTTTTACCCCGCACCAGAAACTATTTACATTTGTTAGTCGAAAAAATATATAAAATTTATATATAACATACAGAATTTATATATATACAAAAAATATACATTTTTGACTATTATTTTGAAAACGGCTATACAATATCATTTTCTATTCTTTTGTTTGTTCAAAAGCCCAAACAAATAGAATCAGTCTTTGTCCACTGAGACATGGACTATAACACACTTGCAGTTTTCCTAAATCAAGCTTTAATACTCATTGATTTCCCTTTTTAGTGTGACTTGGAAAACAATATTAGCTCTTACTAGTAAATAACTGGACTAGCCCCAATAGAAAATTAGGAACAAGCAGAAAGAATACATTGGGACAGCTTCGAAATTTTGCTCATTTCTCCTGGTATAAGAAAAGTTTCAGATGGGGATATGGGGAGTAATTACTGTTGTACCGTAAGATAAAATAGATAAAATTATTCATTTTCTACCGTCTAAATACATATACGGCCCCTTAAGCTTGCTCTGATTTCCCGTTTAGACACTTAAACTCAGCCTATCAGATATGAACATAGTATTATGTTCAATTGGAACAATGCTGAGTTCAAGTGTCTAAATAGGAAATCAGGGCTAAGGAGTCGTATATGTATTCAGCCTTTTCTAAAACTAAAAATAGTTAGACAGATGCATCCCCATCTTTAAGGCAAATGGATTCAACTTTCCTTAGATCACTGACATTATAACTTGTAGTTCCACACCACACCTCATCCTTGTATGTTCAGATTACACACTGATATTTTACAATGGATATGGGATATTTTTTAGCAAGCTTTTCCAAGGATTGAACAGTTAAGTGAATTCATGGTAATGTACAAATATTCAGGTGCATTGTGAGTGCTGGACCATAGTCAGTATCACCAGATGACAATGGCGAGTTACTTGGAATATTAGGCAAGTTGTTGGACACAATGCTGTAATGCAGAAGCGGCAAATACAGTCCCTTCACTGCTTTCGTGAGGTAAATCAAGTTGCAGATTGGTTGACAAGATTTGGTGCAATTGTTTGACAAAATTTTACTTGATAGGTTCGCAGTTCCTAGCGTGGAGGGTTCTATTTTCATTGTTTACTGGAAGGGTACCATCTGTTCTTCTCGATGCACAAAGCATCTTGCATTCACGTAGGGTCTGGAAAAGGGCCGCACTCCCAAGGGGTGTGATGTAGACAACCTAACATAATGTAAGCATTAGTAACTGGTTCCACAGTTCGAACAAATGACCTATAGATCACACAGAGACAACATTATCATTGCTCCAAGGCTCCCCTTCTACCATCTGTTCTTCTCGTTTTTATATTTCAGGTGCATCGATAAAATATAACAAAACCTTATTGGGGTAAGGTGTCCAAAAAAATGAAGAAAAATCAACATAGCACAGCAGATAAAGATCAATTCAAATACATATATTCTCAGAGTTAACATAGCAGCATTCTAGCATCACTTGCCATTACAAAAACATTGCATCAGTGTTTCCCCAGTGAGGAAATATACATTACACAATTAGGCAATTATAAGCAGC